CTCCTCCTCCTTCCCTCTTCGTCTTCCATCCCTCCCTCCCTCTCGCCCTCTATCCCTCCTTCCTTCAGGTCGGGGAAAGTGCGCGCCCCCTCTTCAGCGGCCGGCGACCCGTCCTCCGTTATGCAACAGCCAGCGAGTACTTCGAGAGGCTGCAAGAGCTGAGGGAGGGAGGGAGAGAGGGGGGGAAGGAAGGAGCAGCCGAGGAAGGCTTTCCTACCATTAGGTAGGGAAATGGGAGGAGAGGGGATGCTTGAAACCTGAATCACTTACTTTGCGACGGCGGATCTGTTTCTTTTTATGCGCTTTTCTCCCTTCTCTTTCCACAGTCTTGACCTCCCTCCATCCCTTCCTCCCTTCCTCCCTCCCTCCCTCCTGGCAGAGGCTCCCCCTTCCTCCCTCTTGTCACAAACCGAGAGGACAATAGCGAGGACGGGCCCGGGGGAAGGAATGCCTGGTCGGGCTTTTATTCTGGATACCCGGAAGTAAAAGCGCGGGGCAGGGAGGTAGAGGCTTTCATGAGGTATGGGAAGAGGGAGGCAGGGACCGGGGGGAATGGGTGAGGTTCGGCGGCATCCTACCCGGATGTGTAACCCTAATAGGGTGGAGAGGGGAAGCGAAAAAAGGGGGAAAGAGGGATGTAAGGATAGGCATCGATGGAGCGTGCGTGACGTGGCAAGGTACTCGGGCAGTCTGAGGGCTTCGGTGTTTGGGTGCCTAATCCATCATACCAGCCCGCATCCATTCCATCATCCGACTGGGTGCCTAATCCATCATACCTTGGGATGACGGGTGGTTCATTTTACCTAGAAAGCCTTCCTTCTCTGTGCCCATGGCGCGTCTTAAGTTGTCACCGGGCTCCCATTCGATCATGTTACGGTACCTCGTGCGTCCTCCCGCCCACAGGGCAGGGCCTGGGTACTCATTCCATCACGTCATCATCCACGCCCTCCCCTTCCCCCATGACAGGGCCGCCGAAATGGTGTCCGCCCTTCTCCCTCCTTCGATTTCTGGAGCCTGGCAAAAGGACCTTGAGAGCGCTCGGTGAGGACCTTATCCGCCCAAGGCCTCCCTCCCTCCCCTCCCTCCCCTCCTTTCCTCCTGTTTTTGGTTCCTTTCCTTTCCACCATTTCATCAATACTCTTTTTCTGATACATC